ACCTTTCTCATTGCACCACCGCTGTACACATCTGCGGTGCGCATACTGCAACATCAAGAACCAAATTTTCATTTTTAGGCCATGGAACACACCGAAGTCATTAATTTTTTTTAAATTGTTTTTCTAATTTCTAAAAGTCATTAAGCCTAGAACCAAAATTAGATGTACAAACAGGCACAAACATTTGAAAACTAACCTTTAAGCTTCCACAGCAAGAGCAGGGTGTCTCCATGTTTGAATCTTGATCCTCGTCTTGGCATATTCTGCATTCTACTAGCTTCCCAGTTAAGGATGATATATCCTTAACATCTATTATTTTCTGGCAACAGCCATCAATTTTCGCACTGTCGACTGCTGAGGATGTGGCTTGCATCGACCGGTTCCTGCTCTCAATTGCAGCTTCTAACGTGGATTCGGTGATTAATCGATCCACCAACAATACAAAGTGTTCCCCCATCCTCAAAATCTCTACAACCAAAGGAGTTCAGAGTGTTTGATGGAAACCCCCTGGAAAACAATAGCCTGTTGTAGTTAATACATAACAAATTTTTGAGCTACATATTTGAATATAGGAAATATAATTCAACAACTCTCACCACTCAATTGTTGAAAACATGAAATGAAAAATAAATGGGTGATTTAGGAAAGTGGATTACCCTTTGATAGAGGAAGGGAAAACTGAGAAGAAACGGCATGGAATGGAAATCAACACAAGCACACAAGGTTGCATGGAAATATTAAAAACTCAACCAAAATGGATCATTTAGGAAAGTGGAGGTTCCTTTATGAAACAACAAATTAAAGAGGCTTTAAAGGAACTTCCAACACATAACTACAGAAATCTCAATCATCACACAGCAACAGAAAAAAAAAGAAAACTAAAAAAGAAAAAAGAAAAAAGAAACATGCCATGACATAGAAAAGCAAGAAGAAGAAAGTACCCAGAAAAGGAAACAGAGAGGGAAAGATGAAAAGAGACTGCTCTCTCTGAAGCCAAAAAATAGATACCTTTTTTCAAACCAAGGCCTAAAAGGGGTTGAAAGCAAAAGCATGCATCAAGAAAAGAAGGAAGAATATGAGAAACGGAAATGGAGAAGAGACTTACAAGAAGAGGTTATTATATTCTTGAAGCTGAGAAGAAAGCTCTGTTTCTCTCTCTGAGAAATCTCTCTGTTTTGGAATTAAGCAAGGGGATTGAGTGACTTGTTTGTGGGAACTCAATTCACAAGCCACAATTACATCTAAATACAATTAATTAACATGTATGTTCTAAGTTTGTGGCATAAAATAAACACATCTCTCTCTCTCTCTCTCTCTCTCTCTCTCTCTCTGTGCAAGATGTTTATGTTGGTCTCTTCTATTTATATGGATTAATTGTAAGCTTAGAGAGAGAGAGAGATTCTAACGGGAAGCTCAAGCCTCTGCGACTTCCACGATTCCTTTTACTTTACCGTTATTTTCGTTTAGACTGCCTCAACTTAACTTCCACGGGAATTTCATTTTCTCGTCTCCTCAGGCAGCACACCATCATTATTTTTTGCTGCTCATGACATGATGTCATAAACCCGCAATACGAGTTTAATGAAATTAACCCATCTCAACCCTTAATTAAGCAAGTCTTAACCGTGATTAAGATTGCATTAAACCCAAATCATGCAAAAACTTGGAACAAATATGAAGTTATATTAATTTTGTGTGACCGATTTAAGATGTATTTTCACAATAAAATGAGTGGGGAAGAGATCATGTAGGCAAAGAAAGTCAAAGATTATTTCTAGCTACCTTCCTAAGCTTTTGACGTTGATCTCCGAATTTGAAGACATTTGACTTATTGAACAAACGTAGGCTCTTTGAGAAGTTTTATCGGTTTGACACGTGTTTGGTTGACCCTCTTGGGAGGAGCTCTAGTAAGTTCCTCTAGTTGTGGTGTTTGGTTGACAATGATCAAATTAATTTCATAATCTCTTTGATTGATCAATTAAGTATGAAATAATCCCATTTTTAAAAATAACTAATATGGTTCTCATAATCTTTCCCTTTTCCATGCATGATGCATGGAGGTAGGAGGTAGGAGGTAGGAGGTAGGAGAAACACTAAACATGCAACCTCCTCAAAAGTGATTAGTTAAATATATACATATATAAAAGTTTGGGAGTGAATTTAGAGAGGCCAATAATTACTTTTGTACAAAATTATTTCTCCAAATAATCACGTTAAGTGATTTGTGCTTCTCTCCAAAATCATCTAAAATCACTAAAAGGGATTATATGAAAAACCACGTGAAAGATGCTTCTTTTCATAAGCAATTCTGGTCTATCAAAAATCACTTCCAAACGAGATGCTTTATCCCAACTTTTTGTTGATTATTGATCAATAATTTAACATAAAGGTTTTGTCCATAAGTTGGATGAGGGCCACCGAGATTTAAGTCCCATCACCAAACCAAATCTTTTTTTCTTTATTTCTTATTTTCGTGACCTAAACCAAAATTAATAGAAACTTAAGACTAATACTCTAATATTATATCATACTTTTATCTTTTTCTAGGTATAGTTTAAGCAGGTAAAAGGTGTGGTTGATCAACAAACATGTTTAGAATCTGCAGGACGTATGACTACAAGAGCATGCTTATAAAATTAGCATGATTATGTGGATTGATTTTGACTAGTGGAAATAATTTATTTTTGTAGAAAATTGACGTACGTCTAATATACAATTGGTGCATGTTCTTCTATAATGGAGTTCGGTAGGTGAGCTGATTTTTCACTTTCTTATATTTTAATTGGTGATCATGGAAGCCATGTAAGCTTTTCAATTTAATTACTTGGATTTTTACCTTCGGATGAATGTTAATTTATCTTCCAGAATTACTTAGATGAAAACGAGTGTGTAAAACTGTAATTCTATTTCTACAAACGACGGTCCTTCTCGTCGTTTCAAATCCAACCGCCTAACCGACTCCTTGTAACGAACACCTGAACATCAACAAACCACGTACCGCCACCTGTCTACGATTTCCCGCTAAAACGAAAACCAGCCCTCTCTAAATTTACATCCAGTGCCACTTTCACTTTCTCACTCGCATTCTGCAACCAACTGAATCACTCACTCAAAGAAAAAGACCTCCTTTGATTCTTGAAGCTCTCCATACCCTCTATCAATGGCCGCACCGCTGCTCGTCTCCCTCATCCTCCTCTCACTCCTCTCTCTCTCCTCTTCCCTCCCCAACCAAGCCGTCCTCGACGCCGCCGAAATCCTCTCGGATTCAGGCTTCGTCTCTATGGCTCTGACTCTCGAGCTCGTCTCCCAGTCCCTCGTCCCACAGTCCCCTTCTCTCACCATCTTCGCTCCACCAGACACCGCCTTCACCCGATCGGGTCAGCCCTCCCTCTCTCTGCTCCAAATCCACTTCTGCCCTCTCCCTCTACCCCTCCAGACCCTCAAAGCCCTCCCCGCCGGCACCAAGATTCCAACTTTGCTATCTGGGCACTCTCTCATCGTCACCACACCGTCCTCCGGTGCCCCAATTTCACTCAACAACGTCAAGATTACATCCGCAGCGCCCCTTTACGATGATGGGTTTTTGATCATTTTCGGAGTTGATAAATTTTTCGACGCCAATTTTCAGCTTCCCATCCCAATTCGGAGCCCCGTTCCAGATCCGCTGTGTGGGTCTTCCACATCGTCATCGTCAGCGAACGTTACAACCACAATTGGGTTTCCGGGTGCTTCTTGGTTTGAAGGAGCGAGTGCGGTTCTGAGGTCAAATGGGTACAATGTCATGGCCTCGTTTCTTGATTTACAGCTTGTGGGGTTCAAGAACCCGAATTCGATGACTGTCTTTGCTCCTCTTGACCAAGCAATTGAGAACCCTCTGCAATACCCTTCAATCTTTCTCCGACATGTCGTTCCATGCCGGCTTTTGTGGAACGATTTGGTGCGTTTCAACGACGGGACTGTTTTGCCGACGTATATGGAGGGGTTTACTATCACCATCTCCAGGTCTGGTGACGTGTTGTTGCTCAACGGAGTTCCGGTTTTCTTTGCGAACATGTACTACAGCGACTCCTTGGTTGTTCATGGTATCCGCGAGAGTCTTGTAATGCCAGAGACTCCAGAAGTTGCAGATGAGTCTTCACCTGAGAGTGGAACCAACGATGAGGTGCCTTTTGATAATACTGAGTTTTAAGAGACTCTGACAATTTGCTGTGGTGAAGATGAAGACCTTCAGAAAGTGTTGTTTCTTACAAACAAGTGTCTGTTTTCTGAAGAATTTTCTTTTGTCAATAGCTTTTCTTGTAATAAGATGGAAAGTTGGTTCTTTTTGAAGTTTGATTTTGTGGATAGGCCGTCTCTTTTCCTGTGTATCTGATTGTGATTCAAGGGAGCCCTTCAGAAATGTAGAGATAGGCATTCAGTGAAGAATTAAAGCCTTCAGAATTTTACAAAGAAGAAGAGTACTTGTTCTAGATTTAAAAATTAAAGCTTTGAGTATTTTGAGTCTTGCACGCATTAGTGTGTGCTTGTTCTGTAGTAGTTGTCTGCTCTGCTCACGCCACTGAATGACCACATATACTAAATGTTGGATAAGCCCTAAGTTGCTTGGATCAGACGGATCTTTGTTGTATCTTTTACTAAATGGAATGACTTCTGGAAGCCAAGCCAAGTGCTAAAGCATCATTTTGCGTCATTTCTTTTGGGCCAAAAAGTCATCTTTGTGATGCAATATGTCTCATGATTTCGACTTTATGGACCCAAAAGTACTTCAGACAGCATTTCTTTCTCAGAGCTTCTTTAATTTTGCAAAACATCTTGACAGATAAGTTTCAGGCACTAACCAAACACCGCAACCATAAACTTCTAATCCAGACATTGCCTTGTCTAGGCAGGCACCATTTAAGCATAAGTGATGCGTGAAGGGATCAATTTTAGCCATAATTAAAGCGTAATGATCGTCTTCTTTGATCACTGCATAATAATCAAGGGATGAGCATCATTGGTTTCAAGCATTAAACTGGATTAAAATACTTCCTCAAAATACTTCTCAGAACCAAAGGCATTACAAACATCAACAATGTTTAGATTCCTTTAACTATACATAAGAAACGCGATACAGTATAAAAACGGGGTATTAGCCCCCAACTCGGAATGGAGCTTCGCTCCACTCGGTTTTTCTTTTTAATATTCACTTTAAAAGATAATGACAATAGTAAATCCTAGTTGTATAACTGATTTCTACTCTTAAGACCTAGACTTCATTTGATGACGATACATCAATGCTGCTGCTATTATTGGTATTATTGTTGGAACTGCTCTTTTTTCTCCTGCCTTTTATCGGTAAGGATAGTTTCACAAACACTAGCTCCCTTCTTCCGGGGCGGTTTGCAGAGAGTACCCAGAGAACAAGGCAAAGCAAGACTCCAACTGATATCAGGGCCAACCCTGCATTCACAATTTTCAGATAATGGTCCAATGGAGGGCAATAACTTGACGTGATTGTTCGAAATGTGTCTCGAACAAAATTACAATCCTGGAGGCTCAATAAGGGCGGAGTATAGTGCTGAAGTGCATAGCTCTCATTAACTGCTGCAACCAGCTGAGTGTAGATGTCTGGGCTTATCCTTCCAACTGTGGTGCACATCCCAGATGCCGAGACTTCACATGTATACTTCTGCCAAACCTGAAGAATTCACACGAACCAAATATGGATTTAAGCAAGCCATCATACATACTGCCTTATCTCGTAATATCAAGATGTTGTATTTTCATCCCCTCAATGCATGTTACACAAATCAAGCAGCTTCCAGCAGCATATATAAAGACACCAAATTATCCAAATGACTAAAATAGTCAAAGTCAATGATTCTTACCAAAGAAGCATTTGAAATAGACACCTCTTGATCCCCACACTGACTATCTCTCAACTGAGAATCATATGGATAACAGAGAGGTGGCATCAGAGGCCCGGACTGATTGTAATAATAAGGATCAGCATGGGATGGATACGTATTGGCATATGTATAGATGAACTGGTTGACAACATTTACAATATCGTTGATAACTTGTTTACTCTGGCTAAGTGTCTTATTTGTGGTTCTCTGGTCAACACATGGAAGGATGTTGCTAAGTGCTGTTTCAGCATGAGGATGTTCTACCCACTCTTCCATGGCCACGCAGGTGTCAGACACAGTACTGAAACACAAAAGATAAAAACAAAATAGATTTCAGGTGAGGGCATTAGCATAATCCCACCTGGATAAGGAGGCATAATAAAATCACAATCACCACAGTACTTTGTTGAGTTTCTGATTCACCAGACAATCCAGTAAAATGAACATAAATCTAAACATTTCTATCGAAGATAACACATTCTTACTTGTTAAGGATCACAAAGACTCCAGAAAGAATGAATGTAATTGCTACAAGTAACCATCCACTAACAATAAATCTGCAAAAATATGACGGCTTTGTCAGACGGAGATATGAAACCCCTCCAGAATGTGAAGAGTAGAAGAATTAATACAAATGTAACAAATTGACAAATACAAGGACAACTTACATGTGGATCGCATGTTGGTGCCCAAGGATGGACAGAACTGCAACAAGATACATTAATGAGTTACAAAGAGACAAAAAGTGCAATATACAAGAAGACCAAATAATAGATTTCATTCATCAAGTTGTTTAGGGTGATACATACAAAGACCAATCACAGCTAGGAGAAGCATCACTGCTGCCACGGTGATTAAAGCTGAACGCCTGCAACATTTAACTCGAAATTAGTCCATTAAAAACACAGGGGTTCAGTATAACCCCTTGATTAGATTGTACTACCGAAGTTTAAGAAGACGTACACAGCACCGAAGACTCTTTTTATTTTAACAGAATTTTCACTTGTCTTCTCTGTCAGGGTATTTGCTGCAGCGTTCAGATCTAGATTCAGCTTGTCAATACCATCCATGACATCAGAAGGTAAGAAAACCTGGGCCACACTAATAGCTTTTGCAAGGGACAGATACTCTGTGACATTTCTCAGGGTCTGCACAGTGTAGTCGGACTGGTTTACAACATAATTTAGAGTACGCATCGCTTCGTCATGAAATTCATCTTGCCCAACAGAAAGAAGAATACATCCAATCCTGTGTGATTGAGAAGATATAGCATATCATGTTAGACCAGGGTCACCTGAGAGATGCATAAGGTAACAAAACTGCCTTCCTAGCACAACAGATGGCCAATACCATCACGTGTGGACCTAAGTAAGTATATGATGAAAACTTCCCCATACCAAAAAGAAAGAAAAAAGAATGTTACCATATACAATCCTAAGCCAGAAAGATGAATTTCCTGAACGATTTTGGTTTGTTTGTGTGTAAGTCTAAATATGAACCAAAATAATTGTATGCATCAAAGAAGGAGGACAGGAAAATGGGCAAAAGAAACATAAATAATAGTTCAGAACATATATCCATATATATTCATATGAAGTTCAGAGCATTACGCGGCAGCACATGTGAAGACTAGTAGCAGAATCAGACATATCCTCTGTGAGCGGTGTGATTCTTCCTCTTTAATGTTTATTCTCCATCCACAGCAATGATGAACCACAAGAACCATGCCAAAAACAACAAACCATAGGACAGAAATAATGAAACCAGCAGCACCTGTAAATCCAACCGACTGCAGAAAAGAGATCATATTACTAAGGAATACATGAGAAACTTAAATGTACAAGTAATAATATGGGCATCACAATTCCTATTATTACTACTACTAAATATTTATCTAACAGCAGTTCAAAGAGGCAGAACAAAACGAGTAGGTACAGAGAAAAAATTAACTTTAATTGGAAATTTTGATGTATCATCACATAACAAAATTGCATTCTAGTGGTCTGCCTCATGTTAGATATTAATTAAATAAAATTATGTTTCCCCATAGAAAAAAATAATAATAATAATTTCAGCCAATGAAAGATAGATCTCACTATTTCTTGATTATTTAAAATCTTCACACTTTTCATCACAAACAAACAAGCATCATATATTTTATATGATATCATATCCAACAAGTTAACAAAAGGGCCGCGAATTATGCTATAACAATCAAATTCTACAGCCTAAACCAATACTCGAGCTAGATTGACAGCAAGTATGCACACATTTCATAAATCACAATCAACAAATTAAATGACAGGTGGTCCACCATAATAAAGCAAGAAGGAACCAAGACTTACTGCCCAGTAGTGCCGATTAGCAATGTCCCAGCCTCCTCGATAACGCTTAAACCGACTGAGAATATCTGGCCTGTTGGTCCTTTTAGCCGCCAAAACAAGCGTGCCTTGAGGTGCATCGCTTGCAGGCCCTGGGGATTGTGCAGTCTCTTCTGAGATTCCATTTCTCCACGACCCTAGATTTTCATCCACTGAAAAAACAACAAGAAGCAATGTTACAAGGTTAGAAAGCTGCATAATTTCAGCTGCTGAGCTATTTAGACTTGAAAACTCTCAAAGTAATTTTGGAAGTAAAAGAAATGTTATTGGTTTGGAACAGAAAAGCGTTTGGCTTGTTTGGTTGCTGAGTAATAGTGGAGAAAAGATTCGATCTTTCATCAAAATAAGAATAAGGATGAAATGAAAAACTGGCAATGAATTGGGATAAAGGCTATGTATTGTTACGTTGTCTTGAAACCCAAAAACAACAATGACTCCAAAAATCTCATTTTCCATTTCTTCTCCTCCTCAGCAACCAAAGAAGCATACAAGATAAAACCCATTTAAACAATCGAATTAAGAAACGTACCTAGACTAAATTTGAGAGTATCTCTGGTGCGTCGGAGTCCATTTCGAGTTAGAGCTGAAACGCAGCTCCCAGAACCCAAAACCAGAAAGAAGAAGAAGAAGCAAAGAGAGGTGGCAACCAGCAAGCGCGTCATTTGCAGAGTCTTTCCACTCTCTGTTCACAAAACTCTCAGGACAGAAGCCAGATACGAATCAAGCCCATTTCCAAGATTTGGTTTAGTTACAAAACCCAAATCTTGAAAAAGAAGTATAATTAAAATGGCGAAATGAGTGAGTTGTGTGTCAGTGTTCTAATCTGGTCACATTCTTGGTGGTAAGGGATTTATAAGAAGGCAAAAATGGAGTCTCCAAAGTCACATGGGGGGGGGTGGGAGGTGGGGTAAGAAAAAGGCGGGTGGGAAATGAATAAAGGATTTGCTTAGCGCCTCA